AACTATAGTTTCATGTCTCAAGTAACTATAATTAATTTCAAGTTTTCAACTAACTATAGTTATTTCCAAGTTTTAAGTAACAATAGTTAGCTCCATAGTTAGCTCCACGTTTTCAAGTGACCATAGTTAGTTCCATGTTTTCAAGTAATTATAGTTATTCCCACGTTTTCAAGTAATTGTAGTTGTTTACACGTTTTCAAGTAATTGTAGTTATTTACACGTTTTCAAGTAATTGTATTTATTTCCACGTTTTCTAATAACCATAGTTATTTCTATGTTTTACGTATTCTAGTTAGTTGCACGCTTTCAAGTAATTATAGCTAGTTCCAGGTTTTCTAGTAATTACAATTAATTCCACGTTTCAAGTAACTATATTTATTTCCACGTTTTAAGTATTATAGTTAGTAAATATTACATTAATGTTATTAGTGTAATAGCATCATTATCTTTTGATGAAAGTCTGCCGGTGGAACAAGGCATAGTTTAGGGACTTACAATGCTAAAATCTGAGGTTCAAGTCCCCGCGGCGGACACAGCTTATGGGCCAATGTAGCTTTGTCCTAAAACAAACAAACTAACTTTTGATAAAAATAGTGAAGCTTTTTTTTATGTTAGCATTTTGGAGATATGAAGACATCGCTAGACAAGCACAGCGGATGTGAATCTAGGTCTTTAGAAGGCTATAACTTAACAAGGCTTTTCAAAGGCCTATGGGAAACTTGCCCACAGTAACCACCACTATGTTATTAAAATTAATGAGGCGAGTAGAAGTTGTGAACGTTCGCATAAACGACGAAACACTCTTCGAACAGGTTTTAAAACTCAACTAACATTAAAACTGCACACGACAACAACAACTAGCTCCAACCCCAGTATTTGTTGACGCTCCTAGGCAAATAAATTAAAGGTGAATGCATTCTTGACCTCGATCAGTGTGAATTGTGGATTGAGAGATCCAACAGAAGGTTTTATCCCCATCCTCCTTACGTTTTGTATTATGATATAAACAGCAATAAATTGTATGTCATATCGAAACATTTGACTCTGTGTTATCTTCTATTGAAATCTAACCCTTTATCGATATGGACGTTTCAAGGTTGCCTTGGTGTTCAGAAGGATTGTTAAAAATACACTACGATCAAATGTAACATCAAGGGAAGCAATAACCCTTTATGAGCTGAAATAATCTAGTAAGGTACAATAACAATTATGGATCCCTTGGATGGACAGAGGAACAATAACAATGTTACAAAATTTCGTATTATAATTATATGATATTAGATAAACCAAAATATAGCAATACAAAACTGTATCTCCCTTCCACCTCCATCCATTGTGTTATTTATTATTAATTATATTATTTATCCTACTTTTTTTTTCTTTATCAGACAGAGATACAGGAAAAGTTTGTCGACTATTTCTACATTCCCGTCTGCTATGAAGCCATTTTTAAACCTTATATATTGTTATTTAAGGGCTAGAAAGAAACCTTGAACTTAACCATAACTATATTTTAATATTCTATTACTTGGCTTGAAGACATTGATAGGTTAAGGAAAACTTTGAACAACATCTCATTTTTGGCGTGATTACACCAATAAATTAAGGAAAGTTTTAAAACATATTTTATAATTCGGCATGATGACACTGGTAAATTGAGGAAAACTTTGAAACATATTTTATTATTTGGCTTGAAGACAATGATAGGTTAAAGAAAACTTTGAACAACATCTCATTTTTGGCGTGATGACACCAATAAATTAAGGAAAGTTTTGAAACATATTTTATAATTTGGCATGATGACACTGATAGGTTAAGGAAAACTTTGAACCACATCTCATTATCTGGCGTGATTACATTGATAAATTAAGGAAAGCTTTGAAACATATTTTCTTATTTGGCGTGATGACACCAATAAATTAGGGAAAGCTTTGAAACATATTTTATAATTTGGCATGATGACATTGATAGGTTAAGGAAAGCAATGAAACATATTTTATTATTTGGCCTGATGACACTGATAGGTTAAGGAAAGCTTTGAAACATATTTTATAATTTGGCATGATGACACTGATAAATTAAGGAAAACTTTGAACCATATCTTATTATTTGGCCTGATGACAATGATAAATTAAGACAAGCTTGGAAACATTTTTTTTATTATTATTTGGCGTGATGACACTGATAGGTTAAGGGAAACTTTGAACTATATCTTATCATTTGGACTGATGACACTGAGAAATCAAGAAAAGCTTTGAAACTTTTTTTATTATTTGGCGTGTTGACACTGATAGGTTAAGGAAAATTTAGAACTATCTTATCATTTGGCCTGATGAGTTAAGAAAAACTTTGAACAATATCTGAATACAGGACAAAGACAAATAAAGACACAGCTTTCTTTTTAAACTTTAAAACGTATTGCTGTTTGGTATTGAAGAAGTAACATCGTATTTTCTGGTTGTAAGATTTAAATTAAAATACCCGATAAGGAAGAAAAAATTCTATAAAGGACATTGTTAGATAACGTTCCCCCTTCTTTTTATTATTTTGTTATTAAATCATTAATGACTTCATTAGATGCTAACTGCATACCTTGCTTTGTGGGAGGTGGTAATTGACTTATTTAACTGATTATGTACTTGTGTCTTTAAATTCAAAGCCAAAGGTCTACAAAAAGCAGAACTGTGCACTATTTCAAAACGCTTTTTATCACCCTTCTGTGGCAAAAATTTCTAAAACAAGATAGCCCATGTAAACCGTCAGACAGTTTCCAGTTACCATACAAACAATAACGGTAATCGAGCCAGCCAAAAAGTGGAAATGTGCCCTAGTTCAGGAGCTTTTCTACTTCTCTTCCCTGGAAACAAAAATCCCGAAACAGAATAGCTCACGTACACGGTCGGACAATTTCCAGTTATCATATTAATATATTTAAAATATTACGACAATTGAGCTTGCTAATTCACTGACATACATATAATGGATCGTCTTTGTGGTAACGTTGTTACTTAGCCGGATGATGGTGTTATATAATTCCTGTATCATGTGAACACAATACTTATAGCGCAATTACTACAACTGTGATAATAACAGATAAAAGTACAAATTGCATAGATAACTCACGTATCATAAACCCAGGTGAAATATATCAAGTATAAAAAGGATTTCCAAATACGCAGTAACTCGTGACCTTTCTTTATTTGTAAAAATATTTTAAATTAATTGCTTAAAAAAAAGAGACAAATTAATATAAAATAACTTTCAATTATTCATAAGTTGGTATCCGAATTTTACTTCTTTCTTCATTTAATCAAAACACGGAGTTAAACTAACCCTCTATTGACTGATTAGAAATGCTATAATAACCTAACATGATGCAATAGAAGTTAACAAACACACATGCTTCAACAACTTAATATGACGTAATAACAGTTAGCAGATACACATGCTTCACAATTATAATAACACGCGATAGGAGGTAGCAAATGTGCATGTTTTTAGCAAGACATTGTTTTGGATATTTAAAACCTCGAGTAAAACGTTCGGTGAAAGTTGTAAACACGGGTCAAAATAACAAAGGCAAATTAAAATGATACAAAACTTACATATAAAGTATATGAAAGCGTTACAATAATTGCAATATCGTTTACTATTTATTTGTTTTTGAATCTTGCGCAAACCTATTCGAGGGCTACCTGCGCTAGTCATCACAAGTGATAGAATTGAAGTCAGTTAGCCAACGGGCTCGGCATGACCAGGTGGTTAGGGCGCTCGACTCGCAATCTGAGGGTCGCGGGTTCGAATCCTCTCCCACCAAACGTGTTCGCTCTTTCAGCCGTGGAGGCTATAATGGTAAAAGAGTAGCCCAAGAGTTGGCGGTGGGTGGTGATGACTAGCTGCCTTCCCTCTAGTCTTATACTGCTAAATTAGGGACGGCTAGCGCAGATAGCCCTCGTGTAGCTTTGCGCGAAATTCGAAACAAACAAACAGTTAGTCAACGCCACCCAACGCCAACTCTTGGGCTACTCTTTTATACCGATGAATAGAGGGATTTGCCGTAAAGTTATATTGTCCCCACGGCTGAAAGAACGAACACGTGCGGTGACGGGATTCGAACTCGCAATCCAACCACCAGACCGTGCCAGACCCGTCGTTTATTGCGAAAGTATTTTGGTTCATCAATTAAGGTATACCTCTCGAAACTTCGGTTACGCTACAGTCTAAAACAAATAAAAAAAAATCCTGCAAGAAATTAGGTTTTAAAATAGTTCATAAAAATGTGGAACTTTTTTTCCACCAATACATTTGAACAACATTTTTCTTTATTTCTGAGAACCTTAAACTAACCCTTCACCCTCTTCTACAAAGCTATGTCAAAGAAGGCTCAAATGTGATTTTAATTTTAAGATTCCAACGTGGATGATAATATGATTAAATAATTCTAAAACCTGAAACATGTTGTTTTTGTTTTGTGTGTGTGTTTGTGTGTATAACGATCTATCATGTTTTTATGAAATTCTCTAAGAATGTTTGATTGAACAAAGGTACCACGAAGTAAGAATTTTTCCGTTTTTATTTACATTCATTTATATTGCACAGTGAAAAAAAATAACAACAATCATCATTATATACTCAATGTAATGGTTATCTTACGAGAATGGCAGTGTGAAAAACATCACGAGACCTGACATGTTATACATAATAACGACATACGTACTAGTGCGTCTGGAATGTACTGCTGACATGAAAATAGCAGTAAGAGTACCTTAGCTATTACATTTAACTATACACATAATGTTCATACATAATTCATATAAGACAATATAGGTTGTTAAAAGGCTGACTGTGAAGGTAAATCTTGTGAAACAGATCAAACCACGTCATAATTGTAAGGAAAGAAGAAATTAACATATTAGTACAATAGTATTATTCATCCAGTATGGGATATCAGGGTGTTTACAGATGCTTTCATTAATTCACGTAATTCAGTGTGTGTTTACTTTTTTTTTTTGTACAATAATTCATGTATTTAACTATCATATTAAAGTTATTATTGTACCTCGTGTGATTTCAATAATAAGGAAGCTGTCTTTAACTATTCGTTTTTTCTAAAGACAAGAAAGCGTTTGCCTAAGAAAACCATTTCATTTTACATTAACTATAGCTTAGAACTTTGAGGTAAGTGATTTCTTAAACATATGAAGCAACTGCGGATGTATTAACGTTTTTTTCAAAATCTATACTGTTTGGCTAAAGTGCTTCGTCTCGATTTAGGCACTCATAATTTTGTACTTTTGTACTGTCTTGGAGTCTTTTAAAGTATCGTTAAATCTCAAAGGTGCACAAATGGCTATCTTCGCTGCATTCATTAAAAACTTGCGTGCTTGTAACGCTAAAGTTCGGGGTTCGATCATTGCGGGGGGCATAATTAAACCTATATAATACAAGAGCATTTCGATAATTGTCTCTCACAACAATGACTGTACTGTTGTTGCACTTACAATACAGTTAGGGAACACTAAATGAGATTTTTGAGTAATGTTAAAAATTATAGATTATTGGTAGTTAGTCCTAAACACTAATGGTTATGAAGATATGTGCAAGTTAACCTAGAAATTAAAATGTTGGAAATTAATATTGGACAATACGAAGCATGATTTGGTAAAAAATTAAAACCAATAAAATAAGTTTTCTCGATTTATCTGTGTCAACAGAAATGTTTATATCATTTGAAATATAATGGAAATCATAATTTCAGGATAAACAAGTTTTTTTTTTTTTACCCCTTTAACAACTCGTGTATAGTTCTTTTTTACGTAAGTGTTATAATGCAGTACGTAAAACGTACAATGACAAAAGCCATTTATTGCATTCATTAAATATCAAAACATTTGAACGACAATAAATGAAATTCAGTCTGAGACCCAGACTAGATAAATGAGGGGTTATATACACTTACACATACGATAACAAATACAGTACAAAAAATATTAAAAATGGTAAAAAAAAAGAATTAATTTCCGAAATTTCGTTGATTCCTCAACCAGTAGTAATTTTTTCTTGTTATTTCCCACATACATTTCTGTAACGGGAACGTGCATCGTTCTAGTACGTTTTGGATATATAATTTATTTAAATGAGCAAGTCGAGAATTGGGGAATACTTAAATATCAAATTACATCTACCTTTACCCCACCAGTGGGCATAGCACAGATAGCCCATTGTGTAGCTTTGTGCTTAATAATAAAGGAGCAAAAAGACTGCCTTTAAATTTCGTATAACACAAATGAACTTAGCTTTTGGACATCTACTTGACTATCTTAAAATCTGTAAACGACTGAATGTATGAACTAACTTTTGTAAGACATAGTTTTTATATAACTTTAATACACGTGGCAACAGCTCAGAGAGTTTATTAGGCCTAATATTAGACTTCCAAAGTTCCGAACTGCAGCGAACTGGAGACACTTATATTATATTATATGTAAACACACACACATATAAAGATATGATTACATCATTATCGACAAGTGTAGCTTAACGTTAATAAACAGAGCAAGCAAGATAATTAGAGGGTAAACATCAGGTTTGTCATGGTCATATAAACCTCATATATTTTTGTGCGCCAACACCAACAAAGCGAAAATTACTTGATTCATAGCACACACCACCGTAACTTTTCATAATAACTCTCGTTCTCAAACACTTGATTCGGTAGTATCGTGACCAGTCTGGAGATAAGATTTGATAAAACACTGAAGTTTTTTTTGGTGAATAAACAACGATGTACCAAATGTGAAATTATTTTATGCTTTAAAAGGTTTTATTTGTTTACTCCTCGTTCAAAAACCACAATTTTAAGCTAGTAGCATGAATATGTGGAACTTAAAGAAGAAAAATCGCTAACATTTGTCCACTAAAAGCTATGGGAAAGCCATACCTACCTACAGAATTAGTTAAAAAGAGAGAGAAAAAAGAAAAGATGACAAGCATTTCTCGAGTGGGAAAGGAAGTAGCATCGAATCACACTTTTTACACTATTTACACCTCCATTTTAAACGATTCTTCCTGAGAGATTGGCTGAAGTCTGGAAGTATCGTGTACTACATTCTCGAAACGTATTCTTTCTCTTCTGAGTAGCCAGACTCATCAGAGATATTGTCCGTTTCTTCATCTATTGAGTTCAGCGGTTTAAGAGAACGAGGATTGGGAACCTCCTCCACGGAATCTGAGTCGAGCGAATCGCTCTCTCTGCCCATAACCAGATACTGGTCCGACAGAGTGTCTATATCATCTGGTACAATGTCAGACGTTGACTCCTGTTCTGAAACCAACGAGCCACTCATCAAGTCCTCGAAGTCATCTTCCTCTTCTTCCAGCTCCTCTTCAATCTCGTCGATGGATGTTAATTTGGGGGCACTCCTTGAGCGTTCCATTGGAGGTCTAAAGTTTATTGTCCCAGTAATCAACAGCTGTTTCCTTCGAGGAAGACTTGGATGGTCAACAGCAGTGTTTGCTAGAGACAATCGCGCCTTTTGTCGACTGAGCTTTTCTCGACGAAATTCTTGAAGAGTTGCGGAAAGTTTTTGGTTTAGTTGAATTGCCATTGTTTGAGCCTTTTCGTCTTTTGTACACAGAACCGCGTGACACCGCAGCTCTTGTTTCATCCGCCGACCCTCGTGCCGATACACCCAGCAGAATACCCGTGGATAATGAGGATTGTGAGTACAGAACGTTATTCTGTTGGCCCAATACTCTGTAAGCCCGTGTTCCTTTGTTACTGCTTTGATACCCGAGCTGCACACCGTAACTTTCATGTTGATTTCTTGTTTAACATTAGAACAGTAATTTTTCCACAAAGTAGACAGCGGTTTCTCTACACAATTTTCTCCTTTTGCCCATGGCGTTACAACGTTTCCTAGGTAGATCACTTTGTATGTAGGGTCGTACTCGGTTATCGATAACGATTTCTTGTTCCAGAACTTGAGTTTTCGTTTCACGTTAGAAGGAGAAAAAGACTTGGTTGACACAGCCATTATTTTGTTTCTTTGAGCACACTATTAGTTACACAAGACGCTGCATAATCCCATGCGATATGTGAAGATAGACGCTAAACTAATTCCTAGCGCCATTCTTATGTTATTCTACGCTCATAATGAAAAACTATCGCTGAATAAGGTCAGTTCAATGGCTTTAGGAACGGGTACCCAGCGCCGTTCCTTGCTTGGCTTCTTTTAGACGTCGCCGCAGGGTCCTGAAATTCCCTGACGTCGCTAACACCTGCTCGAGACAGCCTTTCAGAGATCTGGGATTCTTGCACGGAGCCAGCGCGCGCGAAGACAGATAGCACTGATAATCACCACTTGGTGATTTACAGAATTTAGAATCCACTACTGATCCCTAACACTTACTTTGTCACACAAATCTTAGCTTGATGGTTTGAAAGTCAGATAAAATATATTTTTTGAATACTGGAACTATTTGTTAAACCAGCACAAACCTTCGCCATAGTAACCATCCGAAACTTGTACCTGACGCTGCAATCACACACGGCTACTACCTGCTGCTAGTTCTGTTGCGTGACGTCATGAAAGCATTCGCAGATCTCATTGGTCGAAGTAAAACCGTTGTTAGGTGTCGAACCGAAGCTCCCACGAGAAGCCACTTCCCGGCAATACGTGTTTTGCTGGATTTTTACTCACGTGGTAAACAAAAAAGATGAAAAACCAATGTAAGTGTGGTATACACTTTCGTTATTTAATGTTTATATTGCTAAAATTATGTTGATGCTTCAAGATCAAAAACTAGGATAAAACCACTTGAAATGTATTTGCACAGCATTAAACACACAACACATATCAATGTTCAGTCGAAACGTGTAGTATGTTCTACCTAAATTAATCACTTTATTATGCTTATAAATCCTTGTTTGACCACTTATTATATTAGCATAATATGTTACGTTACTCAAGTACTCAAGATAATCCTGTTATTTTTTATGTTGAGCGTGTTTGTTTGTTTGTAGTTAAGCACAAAACTACACAATGGGCTATCTGTGTTCTGCCCATCAGTGGCACAGCGGCAAGTC